CATGCCTATGGTGCATCTCACAGGTCCTTGCAACAGGGGACAAAGTCTTACCAATTGGCAGCCCCACTCTGAGACTCAAGATAAGGCAGAGTCAGACTCGTGCTGGTAGCAGAGACAAAGGAGAGCTCTGAGGCTGGGCCTAGGTTCACAGGCAGGAACAGCAAAGTGGTACCTTAATGGACATGCTGGAGGACTCAGTGCCACATTCAATGATCAACAGGAAGCTCCCATCCTGATCATTCTTCTGTGGCTTCAACTTGAACACAGGCATCTCTCCCGAAGAGGCAGCACAGATCTTGAGTCTCTCCAGTCGCACATAGGGAATCTTGGGCTCACTGTTGATGGGTCTGCAGTAAGACAACACCTCTGGGTCTTGGTAGAAGCTTCTGTGGCCCCAAACCTCTGAGTCAAGCTCAACCATGACCCCACAACTGAATTGCAGCCCAAGATCTCAGTCCAACCCACTATAGACTCATGTTCTGTCCTTCCACCAGTTCTGCTGGGCTTTCAGGCCTTGCTCCAAGAAGGGAATCCTTGCAGAGGGTGGGACTCAAACAGAGCATGTGCCTTGTGGTACAGGAGCCTGGATATCCTCCCACAACCAGTTCAGATACCTAACCACATAGACTCTACTTGAAGTTCTGGGGTTGAAGAAGACAGTTGCAGGAAAACTTGCTCCTCACTAAGTCATCAAGGATGCTTACTTCCTGTGCCAACCTCTCAGGTCATGAAGTTGGGGTTAGTAGAGGGAGGGTGGGCCAAGAATCTGTTACCTGATACGCTGGTTCTCCTTTGTATTATCTCTAGGGCTCCATGTTCAATTTGTCATACTCTAAGGCAAAAGACAAATAAATACTATGACACATTATAACAACACTATCCATTCATATCTACTGTTGTTGTTCACACCTTCCACTCATATCTACTGCTCACACCCTGTCTACACACCTGTCACACCATTGTTACCCACATTGTAATCATTCACAGTGATGACAATCCTGCATGGCCCTTTTTACCTGAGAGGAGAAAAAGGCCACCCTCTGTTAAAAAGATAAACACAGATAACCACACAGAATCTCACATAAGTGCTGGGTCAGACACAGAGAAGCCAGATTCTCACTTTTGAAATAAGCTCAGAAATCACCTATTCCCCATACATCCATGTTACCTGCTCTCAGAAGTCATTCCATTCAGCCTCTGCCTTTTTAGCCAAGTACTGGAATTCTAACACTGCCTGAGAAACACTGCCAGCTCATACTCTATAGGTAGAGGCTCCCAGCAAGGCCTGCCCTGAGTAGTGCAGTCTGCATGGATGGGCAGGATGCAGCAGTGGGGTGAAAGGAGGAAACTAGCAGATTGCCCATTCAGCGTCAGGCACTGTCCGAGGTACTTTTCAAGGGCAAACAAGGCCCCAAAATTTCAGCAGCCTAAAATGCAGGATTAATTAGTATTAATTAATCTTTATTAATTAGTCTTTGTCCCGGTCCCTTATTTAGGTTTTCTAAATTCCTGCTATGAGTGAGACCATCCGGTTTTTTCTTTTTCTTTCTGACTTATTTTGCTGAGCATGATTCCTTCTAGCTCCATCCATGTTTGCAAACTGCATGTGTTTATCTTTTTTTGAGCAATAAAGTATTTTTAATTAAGATGTCACATTGTTTTTTAGACATGTGCTCTTGTTTACTGAAAAGACTATGGTATGTTGTAAACCTAAATTTTATATGCACTGGGAACCAAAATTTGTATGAATTGCTTTAATGCAATATTAGCTTTGCTGCAGTGGTCTGGAACACAACCTCATTATCTCAGTAAGAGGCCTGTCAGCTGGCCTCCATCTCACCTGCAAGTGCTGAGTCCCTTGCTCCATTTTGTGGACAGTATGAAAGGCAAGCTGCTTACTGGAGTCTCACCTTTGGGTTCCGGTACTGCTGTAGAGCCATGGATGTGTTGACTGCTGGGACCAGTGTAGGTTTTTCACAGAGAGGTTAATTGGCTCTTCTAGTTCTGAGGGAATAGCTAAGTCCTGGAAGCATTCAGTCCAGTTGTAGGAACTTGTCCCAAAGAGTCACTGAAGTGGGTGGAATCCTCACTTTCCATCTTTTAAAAGTGAAAGGCAAACAAGAATAAAAGAAATCAGGCATGTTTGCCACTAGAGGTTAGAGAGCTTAGATAAGCTAAGACCAGGATAACTTTAGAGGCCATCCTTCTGCCTAGTGATGAGCAGAGGAAGTGTAATGCATTTGCCTGGGACTTACCTTACACAGAGTATTCCCCAGAGAGGGGTCAGCACCATCCCTGGGGCATAGACTCCCTGAAGCTCTGCCAGACCCAGGACTGCTGCTGGATCCAGTTTCCGGCTGTGTATCAGAAGTTGGAGGCAAGCTCTGCAGAGGACAGAGTGCCAGACTTGGCACAGTCTGGGTGGGACCAGACATTAGGTTGGGTCCAGCCTGAGAGTGATCACTTGCCAGGCTTGTGATGGACTGCGCAGAATCACTCAGTAGGTTGGGCATGGACTGGGGTATACTACGCACAAGGCTAGGTATGGTCTGCAGGTGACTGGCTGTCAGGCTAGGCAAGGCCTGGTTTTGACCACTTGTCAAGCTGGACACAGCTGGGGGAGGCCCACTCAGCAGGCTTGGTACCACCTGTGGGGGGCTAGGTGTCAGGCTGCTCACGCTCTGGATCTGTGGTTCCAGTGTTCTTGCCAGCCTGGTAGATGACAGCTCCATCTCCAGTGTGTTGGAAAAGCCCATGATGCTCACCGAAGTAGAGTGCTGTGGGAACAAAGACAAGAGCAGAGTCAGGCTGCAACTGGGAACAGTGGGAGGGGAAGGAGAGATGCTGCCCATAAGACTCCTATGCTAGATTTCACTCTGGCCTCAAAATCTAGTAGCCTCAGGGAACTCTGGCAGCACAGGAGGTATGATTTCCATTCCCCATACAAGGAGGTCAGTAGCCTATGACAGAGACACAGGCTAAGGACACTGGGGTGTGTGTGTGTGTAGAGAGAGAGCAAGAGACACAACCTACCACCCAACCTGAGATGTGCATGTATGTGCACTAGCATGTACGCACACACACACACACACCCACACACACACACACAGAGTCATATCTCTCACTCTCACTCCCAGTCCCTTATTTAAGGATCAGACTGTGGGACTGCCCTCCAACTTCACATTTCCGTCTGATTAAATCACTAGCAGCTTCTTTTCCCTTAAGGGGATCCTATGGATAACTGCCGTTGCTGATATATTTAAAATGGGAGAAAGTGTGGAAGGCTCAAACTCTTGACATTTCTTCAGTTCCTAAAACGGGACAAGCTCTCACTCCAATTCTTACCCCTTCAGAGAGACTGCTTGTTCTGCATGGAATATTCTCCTACTTCTGTACCTATTCCTCTTATCCTTCTGAATTCAGTTCACTTGTGAATTTTTGCTCTAGGCTAGACCAGGCACCCCATTATGCCCCCATAACTCCTTGCACTTTATTCTCACAGCACAATCTTTGATACTGTAAGATTAACATCTATTTCCACTACTAAATTATAAGCGCCATTAGAGTTATGATTTTGCCTGTTTTGTTTACATTGTATTCCTAGACCCATGAGTCTGGCTGAATAAATGAATTAATGAGCTATTTTTTAAAATTTAAAACAGTAATGTGTTACTGTTCATTTTACAAATCTTAAGCCAAATGAATAGCAGTTTAGTTCTACTAACAGCTGAGTTTGAGTCTCTTTCAAAAATGAGTATCAAATAGCTAAAATTTACTGAGATTTTACAAATTTACAAATTTGTAAATCAACCTGCTAAGTGTTTTAGTATGCACTTCCTCATTTAATCCTCATAACAAACATTAAAGGGTTGCAATGGTTAAAAGGAATCTATGTAAACATTTGTGGTTACATGGCTGCTGCTGTTGCTATAATTGTTATTATTGTTGTTATGACCCTAGAAAGACATCTGAAGTTATTTTATGTTACTGAAAAGATACTTTGTGGATTTCCATTTCCTTTTATTTGTGCTCCCATATGGAAATTAGTTGAATTTGTATGTTGACTTTGTTTATCCAGAGTCCTTGTTAGTCATGTTGGCATTTTCTGTGCACACAGATCATGTCATCTATGAATAGTAAGTTTTATTCCTTACTTTCCTTATATTTTTCTTATCTTACTCCATCAGCTAAGACCTCCAGTATGAGATTGAATAGGAGTAGTGATAGCCATCCTAGTCCCATTCCTAAACTCATGGGGATCCTGCCAATATTTCACCACTAAATATGATAGGATATCACTAATATGGTATTTGATGAAGAACTGTTGTAGACTTAGAATTCAGAGCTCTGGCAGGAAAGCCATACTCATAATTCTGGCCTGTCTGCCTCTGTCTTTCTCTGCTCACCCCTTCCCCTAGCTTGCCTATACTCTGTTCTTCAACCTCTGTATCCTTCCATGCCTGCTTTCTCTCTCTAAATCTCTCCTCTACTTAGTATTTTCATTTTTTCTTGCCCAATCTTTTTATTATTTAACTACTTTATTAAAGCTTATATTTTCTATTCTTAATCCTAAATTTTAGAAGCAGATGGACTAAATATCCTTTTTTCTCCCCACAGAAAAGTTAACATTTGTATTGTTCCTTGTTAGTTCAATGGTTGTCAATGAAAAGGCTTCAGTTTGCTTTCTAGCCTAAGTCCCAAGATAAAAAAGGTTGAAGTGGGCCTCCCCTGGTGGGGCAGGCGGTTGAGCGCAGTGCTGTGACGCTGTCCGCAGCCTCTGCAGTGCTGGTTCGATCCCGGCTGGCCGGTGAGGGTCCCACATGGCATGGCAGACCTCTCCTGTCTCTCCCACTGCTCCCCTCGGCAGTGCATTTCGTCAGTCTGCCAGTTCTGTTCCCTGCTCTGTCTCTGGTGAATCCTCTCACCCTCCCATGCATCTGGCCTGTACCCCGGTTCTTGTATAAATAAAAATAAATAAATAAATAAAAAGTCATAAAAAAAAAAAAGAAAGGTTGAAGAGAAGAGAGAATGGAAGGAAATGCTCAAACCAGATTGGGTAAACTAGGCATGTTATCCAGCTTAAGGCAAGAAAACACAGGTAACCTCAAACATACCCTGGTCTGCAACCTCTGTGTCCCCTTGTTATGCTGGTTATGTACTATATGGTAGCCTTCTAGTATTTTGTATTTCCTTATGTATGGATAAGAATATCCAAAGATTATCGTATTCCTTTTTGTAATAATATATGATCACCTAATTCTGGATTCTTTCACCTTTTCTCCATTTGACATTCAGAGCTAATGCAATTCTGGTATTCATCTCTATTGATGACATAGATGGATCCCAATGAACTCCCTGTGCTAAGTATTAAGAGTTCCAAAATCCATCTGGCACTGGTCCAATGGTTAGGTGCTATACATTACAAGATAGGCCCAAGATTAAAGTCCCACAGACAAAACTTTCCAGGTTTGGTGTAGAGCTCACACTTGTAGGACATCAACTCCCCTGCCCTGATTACTTACTAATATCATGAAATGTGAGTTAATATAATGACAGAGGAAAGGAGGGCATGCAGACTGAGCAATGCAAGAGATATATAAGTTCTGCCATAGTATATGTTGCCCTGGGCCTCCTAGGCCTGCTCCTATAACACCCAAGAGACAGTCCAAGGTCAGTAACATGCCTTAGGATACTATAGACTAAACTGATTTCTTTCATGCCTTTATCTTCAGCCAACCTCAAGAAGACCAAAGCTATTAGAAGTGGGATGAAGCTCTGGTAGTAGCCAAAACTATTAGAAGTGGGATGAAGCTCTGGTAGTGCAAACTTCATGGGGGAGATCTGAGAAGGGACTCAGAGAAAGTGCTATGAGGAAGCCAGCCCAAGCTGATTTCTACAGGCTATATAAACACAATGGCATTTCTGGAATTTATGTGTGCTGGGTGTTAGTTATTTATGATACTTCATATTCATTTCTAGAGTGAAGAACTATAAAATGTCAAAAATAAGTACTTATTTCATGTACATGAAGAAAGAGGGAATGGAAAACCTCCATTCTACTCTTTGGCCACCGCCACAAGGTGAGTAGGAGCAAGAAGGCCAATTTTCAGGGCCAGGAAGGCAGGCTAACTTTCTTGGGCCAGGAAAGAAGTAAAGGACTTCTCAAGTGATATCTAGGGTTGCAAAAGGTTTGGATATGTGGTCACATCTTGACATAGGATGCCTCACATACTGGAGGAGCTCATCCATTGGTAGAGGTGATGCCACCAACCTGCTCTAGCATTCAGGATTGTTCTGAGGCCAAATGAGAAAAGGTGAGAGTTTATGGCCATCTATAAAGTCTGAATGCAGCAATCACTCACACTTCCACACTCTACACTGTCAGCTATAGAATGGACATCATGACTTTATCTTCACATACAAAATCTTCAGGTTTCATGAGGGAAAAGATGTATATTTTGAGGTGTGCAAGTGGAAAACTATTTTCTATTTCAGGGTACATAAGAAGTCAAAATGCCAAAAACATTCACTCTAATAATCAGTTGAAGTCATCCTTCGGTTATAAGGAGAGACTGCCCTGAGTCCCTCATTAGCCTCGCCTAACTTGCCCATCATTCAAACTTACCTTCTTTCAAACTGTGTTTTCCTTTTCCTGTCCCTTTCCTCTTTTTTGCTTCTTGCTTCTTTATTTTAGTCTCCTAATTTGTTTGCCACTTATCTGAATTATCTTAGCTAGAACCTATAAACTCTACTTATCTGAATCTGCCTCAACAACTTGTCTGACCTGTTGCCTCCCCAATTGTCTATAAAACCTCTTCTACTAGTCACCTATGCAATCTTTCTCAAATCCAACCTGTCTCCTGCTTGACCTGTGTTCTGTTTCCTGCTGCCCTCTCTCTCCCCAGCCTCACTGGCTAGATCTTTTTCCAGAGTTCAATGTGCTTACATTATTATTCTAATGATTGCCATGTGGTGTTATCCAAACTTAAAGAAAACATTGTTCATTTTAACAGGAAGGGAAATTGAGACACAGAGTGATTATCCAGATTTCCCAAACTCATCTAGACCCAAGACTAGGAATCTGAGCCCAGAATTTGCTGGATGCTCTTGATTTTGTGCCAATAGCTAGAAAACTAGTGTCCTAGTAAGATGTGATTGAGAAGTCAATAAACAGACACTTAGTGCACATGCCCTGAGTTTAATATAAATTTCAGGTTCTTACATAAGCATAATGTTGCTGGGGATAAAGTAGCACAGATATTCCACAGAAATTAATTTTCAAGATATCTGAAACATACCTCTTTCAATAACAAAGTGTAATTGCCTTAAAAGTATAATTTGAATGGGAGTACTCTAAAACACTTTACACACTACCCTATCTTATTAACAGAGTATGTGGAGCCATTTCTTAGACATGAAGAAATGAATTGCTGGAGTGGGTTGTTATCCAGTGATGTTTTAGAAAACTTCTCAGAATGCAGAGCTTACTTGCCCTTTCACTGAACAACCTCACACGGTGGCACTTTTCCAGATGTTTCTTGCCTTCTTCCTTCTTGTTTGTAGCTGCGAGTACAGGAATTGCAACTCCCTGCTTCTAATCTTCTTTCCCAGGTTCCATAATGCAGAAAAATTAAAAATTTCCAAAGAAATATAAACTTGTTAGATCAAGAACTCTGACTAGATACCTGTGTGTGGACTTATGGTTTCATATAGAGTATAATGTGTGAGGTTTGTGACATCTGTTTTTGTTGTTGCTCTGATGTTCTACCTACTCGCT